CCTATCCGACACCCCGAACGCAACCGTACAGCAAGCCATGAAGGCTATAGGACATAATTGTAGCTTAGATGCGGCAGGAGCAAAGCGAGTATAGCCTCTAAGCTAGGTTATGTACGGCAGCCGTATGGCTTGCTGAGAATTCGAATTTACTATTTCAGCTGACAGCTCCATAGTTCCGGCATTCTGCCTACACTATTGGAGCTTATTATTATTGTTGCTCTCACTTCCCCCCCCCCGCCCTCAGTGTCCCTCGTTTATAAGCGGCAGGCTCGGCCCAGTTGGAGACCGGTGATTAGGCAGTCCCCTCGAAGCGCCGGACGTGCAGCTGTACAGCGATTACCGCACGGCAAATAAGTGCCTATAGAGTATCGTCGCGCGCTAGGAATGTCGCCTGGCCAGCCCCGCTGGCCAGGGTGTGGTTCGTGCGTCGCTGACGCTTCAGGTTTGCCCTCGGGGCGGGTGACCAGTGGACGCAGTCATTAATGCTGCGTTTAGTTGTCTAGTGCTGTGCGTCAGTTCTTTCGGCCGTGCCGGTGTGGCCGCGCTGGACAGCGCTGCGCGCGCTCAGACCGCGCCGTGTGGCGCTAGACCGCGCTTCGGCGCACACGCGCCCTGGCGCTCCGAGAGCAGCAATTAGTACTCTGCAGTAGTGTAAGGCCCTTGGCAGCCCCGGTTTCGCCTCGCCCTGTCCTATCCGACACCCCGAACGCAACCGTACAGCAAGCCATGAAGGCTATAGGACATAACATTGGAATTCAACTCGCCCGATCAGTACGCCTGATGCTTATTCGTTTGCAGTCAAGTACAGCAAAACATGTGACTATTTTAACGTTTCTACTTAAACAGGCAATTACAATCAGTTTCACGTAAACAAGCTCTCCATATGCCGCAAATGAAAAAATTAAGAAGATTTGCTCCAGGGAAAGGAATTGTCATATTAGCCTAGACGTGTCCCGGAGCGAGCATGCGAGGCAGGAGTACGCATAAGTACCCGATAGAACTACGGCTGTGAACCTGGGGGGCAGTAGCAACAAAATAAGAGCATTTTCTGCCGAACAAAGGACGCAGAGAAATCCACGCAATGTGACGAAACATCCTTTTGCTTTCGCGAATTTAGTGCGCCGAAACTGCACTTCAAGCATCCTAAAGCAACGGGACCGCGAGCTTCGCGATGTACCATATTACAGTACTCCTCCGTGGCGATTTTTCAGAATGCAACAACGGGAAAATGTACGCGAGGAATATGTTACTGCGTCATGTTTGTAGCACTACGCAGTCATGGTGAGTTGCTGGACAGTCTAGATGTCGGACGATGTCGGACGGAGAATTCGCGTGCGTTTCGTCGAGCGTTTCGGAATAGTACGAGCTGGGCCCTACAAGCTACAATCCAGATGGGGGAAATATGGTATAAAATGCCTTCCATTTCCACCTTAATGCATCTCTAGCGACGGCGTCAACTCAATTGAAAATCTCTTGAAGGTGTCCTTCGTCCGTTAAGGTGAGCGTTGTGTGGCTGCTTCCTGGACAGAGCTCCAATCGTGTATGATCTTGATATGCGCAATATATGAAGTGTCAAATTCAAATGTGATATGGCCATTGAGTCAATTGGGGGCTTGAGTCAGCTTCCAGCTGCCAATGAGATCTCGTTCGGAAGACAATACTCTCAACCAGTCATGCCGTCACGGAACGCCAGGGGTGCTCCCCAATGATAGCCAGTCATGCCAGCCAGCCTGTCTCGGGCGAGCTCGCCGCGGCGCCTCTGCTTGCTCTTGCAATAAGCAGATGGCGATTGCGGCGGCTCGACCGGGCACGCTGCGCTTCTGCTGCTGCTGCATTGCGGGTTGCTGAGATGATACCCTCATGACCGGATCGGGATAGTGCCCGCGACGGGAGTGTGTTTCCGGGTGTGCGTGCATGGGCGTGCGCAACTTTTCGCGGCGCACGCCCTGCCGCCGCTCCTCTGCCCCTCTTTCGCCCTTGTCCCTTCATAAATTGTGCTCATCACTGCTGGCTGGATTGGCTGCTGGATTGCTCAACGCTGGCGTTGGCGTCCTATGCGCTGGTCTTGGGTTGATATGTCGGTAAGGACAACCGCACATTACACTTGTTGATTGCGCTCGTTCCCAAGTGTTTAAACTGTAGTGTGCTACATAGCCTTTGTTCACTTGTATGATTTTCCTGGGCATTTTTCTCGTGTCCTCTTCCTACATGAACAGCATCCTAAACTGTCTATTCAGATTCGTTGCTGTGACGTTGCAAACAAGTAGTGAGGTGTCGCCTGCTTTCGAGTAGCATGCTTGGCCCTGAGATCAACAATTTACTTCTTCTGCGGTGCGTTCCGACTGCTGAGCTGTCCCCTGAGTATCGTCTCTCAGCCCGAGCGCGTTGCCTCGCATGTCCCTTGAATTTTTATTCCCTTGTTTCCATATATGTGCCCGTGTACTCGCAGATTTTGTTTCCTCCCTCAGGTTTTGAACGAGTCTAAACAACCATGGCCGCCATGATCTCCCAGCGCCGCGCTGCTGCCAGCGTTGCCTCCTCCTCCGCCCCAAAGCGCGGCTCCCGTGTGGTCACCCGTGTGGCCCAGCCGCTGGCCCAGCCCGGCAGCCAATCGGCTGCCGCCGATGCGTCCATGCTGGCTCGTGCCGGTCTGCCGCCCACGACAACGCCCTACGACAACTACGTGTTCGCTTCTATCAGGGAGGCTGAGGTGAGAGAGGACATCTGCGGGTATTGCAGGATTCTCTTGAGGGTGCGATCTTTGCTGGCTCTCGTGCGATGTTTTCCCAATGAAGTTGTGGTAATTCGATGGCATGCCGTACAAGCAACGTGTCAGCTAGTTAGCTGAGTTAGTTATCTGTCCGTGTTTTCAGTAATTGAAGGTTCCTGTCCCAGTCGGAGATTTAGCGTTGGATTTCATCCCCGGATTGTTTCTTTTGAGCACAAGTAAGCAACCAGTAGTCACCAGTTTCACGACCATGCGTGGTACTTGCTCTGTTGTTCTTCTCAGGTCAACCGCGCCATGACCCGGCGCTACTTCAAGGACATGGACGAGTTCGCTGAGAGCGACGTGGTGATTGTGGGCGCGGGCTCCGCAGGCCTGGCGTGTGCCTACGAGCTGGGCAAGGTGGCGCCGCACCTCAAGGTGAACCACCTTGAGACAAACAACTGATGCATTTCTACTAGGACCGGCATGAGAGAGAGCGCTTGCTTTGTATAGAGATAGCTTGGACCCGGATCAAGTCTTTCAGGCAGTATCTCGCGTTGCTTGACTTTTTGGGGAAGAACTTCTGCGGCTTACTGCAGTACCGTCTATCGTTTCGCTGATCCCGCTGATCATAACAGCCATCGGCCCTGCTCCTCTTCAGGTTGCTCTTCTCGAGCAGAGTGTGGCTCCCGGTGGCGGCGCCTGGCTCGGTGGCCAGCTGTTCAGCGCCATGGTGGTACGGAAGCCCGCCCACCTGATGCTGGACGAGCTGGAGGTGCCGTACGAGGACGAGGGTCACTACGTCGTCGTTCGCCACGCGGCCCTGCTGACGTCCACCCTCATGAGCCACGTGCTCAAGAACCCAAACGTGAAGCTCTTCAACGCCACCGCCGTGGAGGACCTCATCGTGAAGCCCGACCCCCAGCTGGGAGGTGCTCGCCGTGTGGCGGGAGTGGTGACCAACTGGTCGCTGGTGGCGCAGGCGCACGGCACCCAGTCGTGCATGGACCCCAACGTCATCGAGGCGGGCGTGGTGGTGTCGGCGTGCGGCCACGACGGGCCCTTCGGAGCAACCAGTGAGTGCCCTCTTCTGTGCGCCTGTGCGTCTGCTGCAACTCCAGTTTTAAGAGGATGTCCACGAAGAGTCAATTTGTGAGGGCTTTGGAAAATTAGGAAATCTTCAAATAATTTAACACGTAATTTACAGCATTTGATTTCTGCTGTTGTGTTCCATGTCCTATGTTCGCTGGGCACATGATGTCATCGGTTTCTTGTTTCCCCCCTCCTTTCCTAGGCGTGAAGCGTCTCGCGCGCCTGGGCATGGTTCCCGGCGGCGAGGTCCCCGGCATGGGCGCCCTGGACATGGAGGCGGCTGAGGGCGCCATCGTGGGCGGCACTCGCGAGGTGGTGCCGGGTATGGTGCTGGCGGGCATGGAGCTGGCGGAGGTGGACGGGTCACCGCGCATGGGACCCACGTTCGGCGCCATGATCGTGTCGGGACGCCGTGCTGCCCACGTGGCTCTGGCGGTGCTGGAGAAGCGCCGCAAGGTGGCGGCTGGTGCGGCTGCTGCTGCTGCGGGCAAGGAGATGGCTGCCTCGGCTTGATTGAAATGTCTTCTTATTTACGGCAGCGTGCTGAACTAGTCGCAGCTTAAAGCATCGTCTAGGCTTGTTGATCAGTGGGCACTATATTATATTATTTCGCCTAAGCTATCATGGCTAGTTGTCACTAAAGCTCTGATTTGGAAATCGGATCAAAGTAGTGGAGGACTTGCTTGGGTCTTTGTTATATTTCGCCGTTGTCTTATCTGCTTGTTTTGCTCTCGATGGCTGGATATGTTAAGGATCGAATCGGAGAATATTCTTCCTGTCGGCCCTCCAACAACTGGGATAATAATGCTACGTCCGCATGTTATGAATGCGTTTTCTTCACATGCGAATCTTATCTGTTGCTGCAGCTGACGAGACAGCGCAGCTCATTATTGCTGGCAGGGAACTGTTGCTGGCTGGGAGGATGTGAACTTCCCGCTTCATTCAGTTGCCAATCATCAGTGTACGACATTTGTTGTTGCTTGTTGTCTTGCATGTGTCAGGTCAGGCTACTTGTTGATGAAGGTGCACTGCCGGCACGTGTAATACCCGTGACCTGAAGAATTTTCTTTGTCTTCATGTTATATATTTTGTGGCAAGCTGCGCCTCGTGGAGCAGACCGCAGAAACGTAACCAATACACAAACAGGGATATGTGCCGTACCTTAACAGAAACACACAGAAAACCGTAATCCCTAGTATCAACATATGGTATGGTTATGAACATAGGATTTCGCAGTACACGTGATCTGCATGTCCTGCAGTAAAGTCGGTAGGTTGATTGAACTGTCGGAGATCTGCGCTATTAGCCTCGAATTGTTTAATGCCTCGATAATCGTCCATGCATGGTCATCTGTGCGCGGCTTAATCAGCATCGCTCCGTTCTCGGCCTTAATTACAGCTGCTGGTGCCTTGATGAACCCTGTTAGCTAGTTGGTTCCTTACGTAATTAGCCTATCCGGGTATGTGCTCGGGCATAAGAACCGGTATAGGTACTCTGTACTCCGGAAAGTCTGTCTGTCTGTCTGTCCCAGGGGGCTTAATGGCTATGTGGATTCACGACGGTCTACCACCGGATACGTGTGGCGGTGTGAGCTCTGATCTTGCTGAGTCGTTTGCAGCTGTTGTTGTTCTATATGGTCGTGGGTGCGTTCCCCGTACCTGCAAACCACCCTAACGCGAGCCGAGGGCTCAAGGGCAACTGCCAGATCGCCTATAAGCACACCATCCTACCGCGCACTTCAAACGAAGCAAGTGATAAAGGATACGAACGACCAAAGGGAACGATATATATTTGTGCAGTTGGGTGTGTTGTCTGTGCTTATCAGGTGCGGCGGCAAAACTAAGTGGTGTGATCAAAATCGTCAACAACCCTCCGATCTCGTCCTGTTCGTTTGAAGCATGTTCGTTGACGTGCTGCATTACTTTGTTCGTGAGCGTGCGGCCGCAGGGGAGGGATGGAAGTCAAGAGGTTCATTTTAAAATCCAAGTCGGCGGATTTGGTAGCGCATTGCCTCACGACGCCGCAGTTTCTGCCACTCCCGCAGTTTTTAAAAAGTGCTTTAGCTCTATGAGGGTGCGCTGATGGGTTTTCCTGCGTACAGTTCGAGAGTTCTTCTGCCCGCGTGGGCGTGTTGTAAAGCACTGTTGTTTCCGGTCAGTCCGGTCAGTCCTCTCATAAACTGGTTTTAGGACGAGCCGTACGATTTACACGACTTATCCGTCTCCTTAGAGCTCCTCCCGCAGAGATCTGTGCTTATTACCCTTCTCGTTAATTGTAACGGAACGTGCTAAGGTTGCTTCGCTAAACGACCCCCTCCGCGACCTATATTGTCAAATGTCGTCACCGCCGTCACCACCGCCATCATCATCATCGTCATCACCGCCGTCCTCCAGCTCGTCCCTGATTCGCGGCTCGGCATCTTCGCCGTACTGAATCGCCATGTCGATCTGACCCAGAATGTCCGCGATGCTGCGTCACGTAAAGAAAAGTACGGCACGAAAAGTACGGTTTCTTAATGTACTATGTGGAGGTTTTTGCAAGCTCCGCTCGACAACAACGAAATAAGTAAGTTATCACGACCTAAGAGTTTGACAGGACAGCAGTGGCAGTAATAGCAGTAGCAATATAAAAACAGTTGTAGCAATAGTAGCAGTAATAGCAATAACGCACACCTTTCGCTGGTGTTCCCCACCCCACCCCACCCCACTTCTTCTCACACAACAACGAAACACACGCACACACAAATGTGCTTCGGTAGCTATCGCGCTTTCCCTTCCCCCCTTTCCCCCTTCCCAATCCCGCCCTCCTGCTCCCCCTCCCCCTTTCCCCCCCCACCCCTCACTCCCCCCTCCTCCCCTCCTCTACCCCTATTCCCATACCTCAATCTCGTACTCCCGATGGCCCTCACTCACCTTCGTGTACGATCCCCTCTACCGCCCCTCCCCCCTCCACCCCCCAAACCCACCCACACCTGTCTTCATCCGTGATATCCAGCGGCAGAAAGGACACCAACGAGAACTCCTCCAGCAGCCCCCCCATGGCCCGATTGAGCTGTCGGAATCTCGGGCCCGTGGAGGCCGCCAGCTGGTGCAGCAACAGCTCCGGATCCGGGAACAGAAACTCGTCCAAATGGTTCTGTGACGTGTGCGTGTGTGTATTGGCGTGTGTGGTGTGATCGGTGTGGAGGGGGAAAGTGAGGGTGAGGGTGGGGTGGGGGGGAGGGAAAGGGGAGGGGAGAGGTTGGGTTGGGGGCAACGCGTTGGGGAAAACACACACGCACACACCTTGTCCTCCATGAGGTCGACCTTGGTCAGGATGTTCACATGGGGGAGCTCCAGTTTCACCATGGCGGCCAGGGCCTTATAGGGCAATGGAACGCGGGGGGTTGGGGGGAGGGGGGGGGAGGGAAGCAGGGGCAAGGGCGGGGAGGGGGATGGGGAAGCGGATAATTGCGGATGATGCAAAGAATGCAATGTATCGAATGTCTAAGAAGTCCACCTAGGAGCCAGCAGCTGCTGGCAGCAAGGAATGGAAAGCAGTGCCGCGACTGCATTTGCAACAGCACTTGCGAAAGCTCGCCCTTCCAAACGGAACCGGAAGGGAAAGGGAAAAGGGGAGGGAAAGGGGGAAAGACGAACCACGAGCGTGAGTGAAGCTGATGACAAGGAAAGACTGCTGGGGGGGGAAAAGGGGAGGGAAAGGACGGGGCAGGAAGGGAGAAGGGGTTTTGGAAGGCAAGGCAGATGATCGTACCGTAGCTGATAGTAACCTGTCGTCTTCGTACCTGCAGCGCGCCGGCCATAAACTTGGCCACGTCGGTCACGAAGTGCGCGTCCAGGCAATACACCACACACACAGACCAGCCGTCATTCCTGGGGCCAGGGTAAGGGGGGAGGTAGGTAGGGCGGGAGGTAGGTAGGGGGCTCAGTCCGCGGATAAAGAAAGGAATGCGCGGAAAGGAAGAGTGCCCAGCAGAACGACACTAACAACAACAACTGGCATCCACACGCACACACACACACAGACACACGCACAGACACACGCACATTCTCAGACGGATTTTCCCCACACTCACTCACCCAGCCACTCACCGCTCGTTCACTCACTTTAAAAAGTCCACGAAGCTCCGAAACACGGAGAGGTGGTTGTACAGCTCTATTTGGCCGGGGCAGTCGAACACCAGATAGTCCTCATCGCCATAACCCTGGACCGGGCCCCGGGGGGGAAGGGGAAGGGGGAGGGGGCACGTACGCACACACAAAGGAGGAGTATTAGGGGCTCGCACTGATTGTTGCCCCATCACCGACATCGCCGCTGCTGCTGCACCACGCCGCCGCATAGCGTTGTAACAGCTCCATTGGTGACCTTCATCACCCTCACTTCTTCTCTTGTTCCCATTTTTTTCACCGTACAAAACTGTACGCAATATACACAGACATGCACACAGACACACAGACACACACACAAACATACACACACGCGTGTCTTAGTTCTTCACCCTCCCCCAGCCAAACCCAGAACGAACCTCCAGTTCCTCCCCCAGCCACTCGTGAAGGTTGTCCTCCAAGTACTCCATGCAGTACAACAGACCGCTGCCGCCGTACAAATTTGTACGACCACGTGGGCGGCGAATGAATGGCGAGCCACAATCATCACCACACGGTAAGGGAGGGATACAGCATTGGTACGGCATTGCAGCAGCTGAAGAGGAGGCGGAGGTGAATGCGTTCGGAAAAAAGCGCATCGGGAACCATGCGGGGACCCCCGGCCCTCCATACACACATACACACGTGCCCGCCTCGGAGCCCCTCCCCTCCTCGGCTGCTTTCCCCCCCATAACTCCCATGCCGTACAACCTAACCCAGGTCAGCGGCTTCTTCCCCTGGGTGACCTCATTCTCCTCCCCCGATTTCTCTCCCCCCTCACACACTCCCCAGATCCAGCCTCAAACCCCCCCTTCTTATTTCTCCCCCTTCTAATTTCTTCCCCCCACACGTACACGTACAACAGTGTCGTACACTCACCCATTGGGTCCCAGCCCCAGCTCCTCCATGACGTCCTCCAAACACACCAGGTCGCGTATGTCCAGGGAGACCGGGTATTGAAAGGCCTCAGCGGCTGGGTCTGGGAGGTGGCCGAGGTGGAGAGGAACGAGGGGGAAAGACGAACCACGTGAACGAGTGAAGCTGCTGTCAGGGCAAGAGTGTACCAGACGTAGAACTGACCAAAAGGAACGAGGGGGAAATAAATATGACGACAGAAGCAGCCGCCGCAGCAGCAGCAGCAGCAGGTCATTTGCAAGGCACATCCGAAGCCGCAATTTGCTGCAAATTGCTGAACTGACGGAGGCGAGGAAGAAGTGGAAGGAGGAAAGGAATGAGAATGCGGGATGGCAGGGTGGAAGTGACCCCGTGTAAGGATGAGAAGGGAAGAAGGCGGAAGAGGCGGCGGTCGGCGAGGAAGCGAAAGCGCGTGCATTTGCTGGCCGTGGGGGTGCTGGTCATTAATTGTTTTTGCAGATTGGCAGGCACTGCAATCCTTGGGTGGATGGGTTGACAGCATAGCCAAAGCGGCGCGGCGGTTGAGATCTTATGAAAGACTTACCTAGGTTAACGACATGTACTGATCGCTTAATAGCTTGGCAATGCTCGTACAGGTGGTTGCAGTACGTTGACTGAGAGGAGTGGGGATAACCGGGCGTGGAACATGTGTTTGTGTAAAATATGCGTGTAGTGGAGAAAGAGTGCACGTTTTGGAGGAATAGGCTATGGGGGCCTTTCTCAACATATTGTTGCGTTAAGTATATTGTGAACATGGACACACGGGCACATGCCGTGGAGATGTGGAGTTGGAACAAATATTCAGCGCGGTGTGGCCTGAGTTTAGAGTTTGGTAAGGTAAAAGTCATGGAAATAATGGCGGGAGCTGTGAAGAGAGGAGCGGTACTGCATAGCTGTGGCTAGGAACTGCCGTATGTAGTGATGGAAGCTTTCTATCGCCGAGCCTACCTTGCCACAGCCCGCTGGGCCAATCACAAGCTGAGCGTACTTCCCCATGGGACGGCGTGCAACAAAGGCCGTGTGTGTCTTGTCAATAGGCTGCTGCTATCGTGGCGTCCCGGCGGCGTCCATCCGCCATCTTCACGGCACCCTGGCCTCCAGGTGGCACCCAGGTTACTGCTTTCGGGCGATATATCAGAGTAATTAATAGTTCAGCAATCCTTGTAACATAAAGACAGCTGTTTGTACAGATGTTAAGATTTAAGCGTCAGTGGTGTCGAGTGGTGTCGAGAAAGTGCATACGCAGCGGCTAGATATCGATTACAGAATAAGCTCAGGTAGACCTTGTTGATAGCAAGGTACATGAAACAACTGAAAATGCAGTTGTACGGCTAAAAATCGATTTTGAACCCCCAGGCTCCAGCTAGCCAAACCTGCGATGGCTTCATCTCCTTAGACAACGGCTGTATGTCCCACACGCCAGGGAAATTTATGATCCTAGGTTGTAGCTTCAAGTTAGGCCCGGACTATTGGCTCCTGACGCTAGCGGTTTATCTCTCCTTCCACAGTCTCAACAAGTTCATGGTTGATAAATTATTACATGACAATTTACAGTCTGATTAACGGGTTTTAACGGTTTGTGGGTGATCGACGTTCCCCTCAGCTGTCATTACCGTTTAGCTCCAGTTCTATGATGGACCGCGTAATGGTGCGTGTTTCCAGCGCCAAAGGATCGCTTACCGGTCGATTTTCACCATCTCGAAGCTACACAGTGTCAGCTGTCCAGCCCATGCCCCAGACGAACTTCAGCTTTCAAACGTACATTTACCTGCTTTGCGCCGTCTGTGGGTGAGTGCGCTGGCTGCAGACGTGCGAAAGGTTTTCCATGCATATGGTGGACTAGAATTCTTCGCTCGGGTATGTTGATGTGGCAGCCATCATCTCACTACGCTCGGTCGCTTTATTGCATCGGACGCAGTGTTTTCCTTGTGGCCCACTTCGTCTTCACAGCCTCTGAGTCTTCAAGGGTAAGATTAAGGCTGTTAACATGCACGTTAGCCTGAACTGACTTTTCTGTCGCCCCAGGCGCTCCGGAGCTCCCTGCGCAGCCTCCCCGCGGAAGCCATACTCCAGGCACAGGCAAGCAGGAGCGGGAAATGCATGGCTTTGTGTATTCCTCTTTCCTTTCCCGCCTTCTCGCAAGACAGCCTGTCAACCTAATGGTCTACTATTTACACACACACACCCTTCGGAACCCGCCTGCAGCTGATCGAGAAGGAGCGCGAGATCGAGAAGCTCAAATGGGAGGTGAGCCGCCACCAATGCCTAGTCACGCCCGAACCACATGCCGGATTGGCTTCTTACGGCTTGGAGAAAAAGAAACTGCCTACCCGTCTGCAGAGCCGTCATTGGGTTGCACGCAGCACGCAGGTTCCTTGGTTCGGCTCTCCCACGTTTCCCTTTGGATACCTAGAAAGTTAGAACCCACGGAGACGTGTTTCTTAACATTTAGATACGAGCTGCTGAGTGCACTCCACTCCTATGGGCTTTATAGGAAAGGAAAGAAAACAGGGGGATGAATAAACAGGGGTACAGCACCTCCTCTTATGCTGGCCGTGCTGATCCGCCTCCGCATCTGCGTCGCGGGAACGTTGGCGTGGGCGATGATCCCGCCTCCCTTGCCAATCTGAAACCTGTTCGTCCGTGTTGCACGAACCGCACGTGCGCTGTACGCGCCCATATCCTCGTGACCCAGATCGACCGGATCCGGAAGGGTGTCGACCTCAAAGAGTCCAACATCAACGAACAGGAAGGAGTGATACAGCAACTTAAATCCAAGGTGGGTGGCGTGGGACCGCAGATGCAGCCCTTCACAGTATGTGCATTCCACACGCAGCGCATGATGCACAGAAACGTACACTCAGCCTGGTGGTTATACGACCGCCACACCGCCGCCAGAGTGCCCAAGAAGGCATAACCCCCCTTTCTCCCCCAAGCAGCCCAGATCAACCAGCCAGCTTCCTCACGTGCACAACCTTTTCCAAACCATCCATCCAACTGCGGCCTCCCCGTTCCCTCCCCTGCTCGGTCCACGTTCCTCTCCCTAACTCCCATTTCCTCTAAGTCCCATTTCCCCTATCTCTCCTTCCCCTCGCCCGGTCTCCGAACTCCTTCGTAAGGCCCGAATGGAGCACGAAGCTAAGACCAAGGCGGAGCTGGCGCTGTCCGACCGGGCGGGCGCTCTTCACGATTGCCAGCAGCAGAAGACCGCCCTCGCAGGTGAGGTGGCGCAGTGCCATTTCGACCTGCAGGCGCTGCTTGGCAGCGGCAGTCGCGCCGTGTCGCAGCAGTCCAGCGCGGCCCTGGGCGCCATGTCAAGGCGGCAGCAGGAGATACGGACAAGTAGCGGCGCGGCGGCCCGGGAGGCTGCAGCCGCGGCGGGGAGTGCAATGGGGATCATGGGGACGTTGGGCGGCGGCAGCAGCAGTAGTATGAGCAGTAGCCGCAGGAGCGAGCGGGATGACGAGGGTGAGAGTGCGAGTAGCAATGGATATACACTATGAGCCACTGCGTGTGTGTTATATATAGGTGAGACACAGCGTGTGTTTGTGGAGCATGGCTCTTTCTTGTGGAGTTCCGTACGGAATCGGAAGATTCCATTGGGGCTGTAAGAGGCAAAAACAGGCATCACGTGCTCACATTTATGCGGTGTGTGTGTGTGTGTGTGCACACGTGTCCCGATGTGTCGCGACCTGTTCACGCACACGCACAGATGGAATGTTTCGATTATGCCCCTTCCCCCATCCTCCTCGGCTTCCCAACTTTCGGTCGGCCGAACAGACTGGCCACTGTCTGTTGATCCATGGGTATTCGTGTATATGCATGCACACATGCTGTGATGGACGATTATTGGTTAGCTGCTCGCGCGGTCTACGGACATGAATGCTGGCTGGTGGCTGTAATAGGTAGAGGCTACATTAGCTTGTCGGCTTGGGTGACGTGGCACGAGTAGGTGGAGCTTGCACTTTGTGCATACGTTCTCGGAGTACTGCAGGGAAAGATGGTCACTGATGGCTCGCACTGAAGGGCGTAGTGTAGGCGATTTGGTCGGTCAGCAGATAAGATTGACAGATAGATATGCTATATTTCAGAAGCAGGTTAAGCCATTCTGTGTTATGGTGATGGTGTGGAAACTCAGCGCGCTCTGGTAATGTCACGTTGCGCTATTATAGCGAGTGGAGGCAAATATGATGTCAGTTGCGATAAGCGGACATCGCTGAAACTCGTGAATGGCGGCGGTAATGAGGCCCAAGTAAGGAGCCGTAATACGGTAATATGAATATAGCGCCGTGACGGCAGCGACGGTGATTTTAGACGCAGGAGAAAACGAAGTGGACACGTAGGCAGTAGCAATACATGCTGGCGTGCAGATGCCGGTGTGCTGCGCTATAATGTGATGTGCCTGCCTGATTAGGCCACGTCAACAAATCACAGATTGACGCTTTCACCAAGCCTATCTCCCGTCGCGAAGTGTCAAAACCATACTACTCCAATGTGCAGCTGGGCAGTAGCCAACCAGGCAACCGACATTTGCCATCCCTAAGCACCACATCACAGGCTTTCACCGGCCGCTAATAGCTCACATGGGCCTTACCAGCCCCCACGGCAAACGCACATGTCCGTTCAGGGACGCACAACAATACCCAGGGAGCCCCCAAGCAGGACAGCTCATCCCTGCTACTAACTAACGATAATGTAGGGTCCTTCCACAAAGCCAAGCAAACCCGCCATGCAAACTGCAACCGCCGATCAAATTGTCAGGAGGTCAATAACGGCCACAAGCAGAGTCTCAAACTCACACGTCGTTACCCGGGCAGGTAGCGAAGCGTGTCCCCCAATAGCTCCCCCTCCCAGTTCGCAACGCCGCCATTCTTCAGATGGTAAATAATCTTTCATACTATTGCCAAGCAGCAGCTCAGCAGGAACGCGTGCCGATGATGCTACTTTCGTATTGCCAAGCACCCGGTGCCCAGGAAAAATTCTTGAGGACAACATCAGAAGCAAAAGATAACGTGAAGGACCGTGACAACCAACAACTGCAAAACAATCCACATTAGTTACCAAGGTGTTAGAAGACCATGACAGCCCATACCTAAGGGTCCATCGCAACTCATCCTTACAGCGAAAGAGTCACAAAATTTAAGCAGCGAAGAGCAGCCGCAAGAGCAATCCAAGAAATCAACGCTATGCAATACAGCACCCGCACAACACAACCGTTCTGAAAATCCACAGCAACCCCAGGGCCCCCATACCAACCAACACAATCGCGCAATGCTCTTGCTTTCGTTTACTACATCTGCGCAAAACAGACACACGAAACGAAATCAAACCACGGAAAACGCAATCACATAATTTCAAAATCAGAGATCCGAGAGCAGCAGGCAAGGCCACCGTGCACGCAACACACCTCGCCTTCACCCAACCCAACTGAGAGCTCCGTACCAATTAACAAACATCGACGACGCAATGCTTAAACATAAATGAATCGGATATGGTTTTCATTTTACCCGTTCCTCCCGCGCAATGTAATCGCAACCCACGTCGCCTTCTTCACACAACATACTGCGGTTGGCATTCACTTGGATCAGTCCGCGGATCACACAGACCAACTAGTTAACGTATAAACGCAGAAACCCACATGCGGTGGCCAGCTTACCGGTTACCAGGGGGGGATGCAGCACTTCAGCACCCGCCGCATCGCTCGAGCGGAGAGCGCCGCTGCTGCTGGCTATCCCGCCGAAGCCGAAGCCGAAGCCGATGCCGACGGGGACAGTGGCGGTGTCGCTCAGGAGCCAACAGGCGTCTGCTCCGACGGCGATGGATGACGATGATGACGTTGCCTGCGTTACTCACGTTTATGGTGACCACCTCGCAACACCGTTGCTGTTGCTGTTGCTGCTCCTGCTGCTTACCGCCGCGAAGGACCGTCACTGCTATTGCTACTGCTGCCGTTACTGCTGCCGTCTGCTGTTGTGCTGGTGCCGGTCGTAGCAGCAAAAGCCGTGCTGTGGTCGTCGCCATGGCCCAGACTAATCTCCCTAGTATCAGTCATGCCGCTGGTGACGTCAGTTGAGTGATGGCCGCTGGTGGTGGGGACGGTGGTTGCGGCGGTTGATGGTTGCAATGGTGAGGGTGAGGGTGGGGGTGGGGGTGGGCCCAACCGGTAGGCGCTACTCCGTAACACGAACACACCAAATACACCTCCCAGGATGCGGGTCACACCCATGATCTGCACGATGAAAGCCACGAAAAGGAAAGGAAAAGATCTTCAAGTTTTGGGGCTAGGGGGGAATGCGGCTTGTGGCCTACCATGCAGGGGGATGCAAAAATGCCAATTATCATGCTACAGATGCATGCATGTACATGCAAGGTGGGGGGTGTAAACGGAAAGAAAACGAAAGGCGGAAATAATGAAAGTTCAGTGAAATTGAGGGTTATATTCCATACACATATAGCCTTATATATGCATATCGTGTGTGTCTATATATAGCCTCCACGGCTTGTTGCAATGCGGGCACCTTTCAAGGCGCCGGGCGGAAACCGCCAGGCGGGCCATGGCGGGAAACGGGCCCGACGAGGGCCTTGCACCGGTCGGTGCGGTCACAGCAGCAATAAGCTCCCAACAGCATTGATTGATAGGCACAGAGAGAGAGAGAGAGAGAGAGAGAGAGAGAGAGAGAGAGAGAGAGAGAGAGAAACCAAGCTAGGTAATCACAATTTCAAATATCGGCAAGCCGTGCAGCTACCGTACATAATGTAACAACTCAAGAAGCCATACTCGCTTCACTCCTGCCGCACCTAAGCTGATCAAATTTTGATCCATAGGGTGTACGGCACGTGGGGACAAACGGAACGAGGTGGGCATGGCAATGGGACGGTAATGGGAAGAAAGAAAACCATGTGCGGGGCAGAAGAACTCCCAACCAACATAATGTTGTGTGTTCGGAGATCAATACAAAGTTTCCTAATGTGTCTCAACCCAAGCTCTAAAGATCCAAGAGGCAACACTGCAGCAACACGGGCCTCACACCGTACACATGCTAAAACACACACCTTTATGGGGACCCAGATCGACAGCGTATCCACCACGCCCGTCCCGGCGATACCCATCAACATGACGTACTGTACGATGGATCCCGCAATCTGTACGGCAGACATGTAATTAGATTGCTTGGCTGCTAGAAGCGATCCATCCATGATGGAGCCCGCGGCATCAATGGGGAAGAACGCACACACCAGGGGAAGGGCCACCAGGACCTGTGGGGGTTTGTGGGGGGGGTTGTGTGTACGGTGTGTAGGGTGTATGTATGTTTGTATATATGTATGTATATATGTATATATATGTATATATATGTATGTATGTATGGTGTGTGTTGGGGTGTGTGTGTGGGGGGGTATGTATGTTTTGGGGGGGAAGGGTGAAGAAATAAGTGGTCCTGGTCATTCTCCCCCCCTCTCCCCCC